TAATATAATATGTGCTCTTACCACAAAAATGATAACCATGCATTTATAGTTAACTATAGTTAATTATTCCACAATGTACATATACTTCAAAATACCAGGTTTCACACAGTAAAAACATACAATGTTACCTGTAAATTTAAAAAATAAATAAATAAAAAGAAAGTAAGATAAAATAACAGATATAGGAGCATCATGTCAAAGCATAAACTGAGAAACTTTGCTTTATTACAGCATTTGCTTTGGGAGCCTTTACAATTACTTCAAGGAAATACATGATAACTATTTGATTTAAATTCACTTATTTAGAAAATTGCAATTATCCACTGACTTTGTGTTTTTGTAAATTGTATTTAAAAAAAGAAAATTCCTGAAGTTGTGTTTGCAAATCAGTATTTTAATTTTATAAATACTAAAAAAGATCATTTTTTTAAAATAACTAATTATTTAAAGATGTAGATTGCAAGTTTCCCTCTCCAGCTAAATATAATATCTTTGAAGATGTGAATCAGATTTTTTAGAGCTTATGACAATGTACTGTACATACTAAGCCCTTAATATATTTTGATTTTTTAATAAATCACATGCTTGAAATAGTCACAAATTATTTCTGTATTAGAAAAGCAGAATAGTTAGTTAGCTATAACTATGATAAAATCTCATTTCTTGCAATTTTTAGAGACCTTAGATAACTCCTTGGTTTCCTCATCCTTGCAACTTAATAACTCATGAGTTTGATGTAAGAATTAAGTAGAATGATTCAAAGAAAGAATATAACTGATGCATAATATATATTTTTTAATTCTGTTGCCAAGACTTATTTTCATTTACATACTTTATTCAGTTTTGTTGGCATAGAAATGTTTATAATTTTTTATAACTCCAAACATTTTCCAAAAATAATTTATATCAACAGTTCTTGGTTGTGATGGGAAGTGCTTCTCAAAAGCAGAAATGGTTAATTGGGTAGGCATAAGCATTATTATATTTATCTGAAAACTTCAAGCAGCTCATATACTTAATATAAGTGGGAAGAAGGCAATGAATTGATAATTCAATTGAAAACTTGTATTTGAGAATAGGGCAGCCACCCAACTCAGGTGCTGTCTCATCAAGTCTCAGTATATCAAAGGGAAGGATATAAACTCTTAAAGAACTGCTCCAATAGCAGGTTTTACAAGATAGGGAAATAATTTTTTATTTGATATTCAAAGTTGCAAGGATTTGCATATTAAACTTCCATGTAGACCCAAAGTGATGTCAGTCAAAAGGGCATTTTGTACAAATAGAAAGTTTCACTGCGAGTTCATAAAAGATCTCTCTTTCAGTCTACTGGAATCCAGGCTAGTCTAGGCTAAAAAAAATTTTCAGAATGAATAACTAAGAAGGTTAATTTGGAAAGTAATATTTCTTTAAGTCTCTCTTAGTTAACTACTTATGACTCATGCTTCACTCTTCTGTTAATACCTCCATAAGGCCAATGGTTTAGCCCAGAAGTTTAAAATCAAGGCACTATTTACCTGTGTGGAGTACATCATAATTGTAGAGAAAGAACCTGAAAGGAAATAAACATTCTTTCTTTTTTTTTAAAAAAAAAAAAAAGAGAGAGAGATTTTTGCTATAGGGCACGTGCACTCCTCACAGAAACAGAGAGAGATAGAGACAGAAAGTGAGAAATCACTCCCTTAGGGAGGATGGTCATGCTGCAGTCCCTTCTCCCCCATTCTCCTCTGAGGATCTAGAGCATGCACACACACATGCCCGGATCGAGTTTTAACCTGCTGGGTCTAGGACTCCAACCATGGTTGACTACAAGGGAATCCAGCCACGTACCCATTACGCCATCTTCTGGTCCCAAGAAATAAACACTCTTACATAGTTCTTATGAACCGAAAGCAATTTTTAACTATTAAACAAAATGCTGCAGCTGTGTAAAAGTTTTCAGTTTGAGAGAAACAGAACATTCACGTGTGATGACTACATATATCACTCAAAAAAGTAGATATTAGGGAATAAAACCTATTTTCCTTCAGGTTTACGTCCTACTCATTCTCTCAGATTTCTAAAAAGACAGATAATTGCCTACCATTTAAAGATAACAGCTTAAAATGTACCTTTAGGCATTTAGGAACTATCAGCAAGGCTGTCACCCTCATCTCCTAAGAGTTTGGTCCCAAGACGTCATTTCTCCTCAAAGACACTGGAGCACAGATAAGACCTCCTCTATATGGTTGAGCCAGTAAAGTCTGAAATTTATTAAATTACACATCTTAGTTATTTGTGGCTTTAAGATGATATTGTCCATTAAAATTTTTTTTTTAAGTCACATGAAATTCATTTCATTCTCCCCTTTATGCACGGAAATTGTACCCAAGATTCTATTGTTTTAGAAATCTTTCTGGCTATATTGAATTTCTCCTTTTAATTTTGATAGTAAATAAATATGTGGCACTTATCACATGCCCAACACTGTTCTAAGTGGCTTATTCATTTAATTCTCACAATGACCTTGTAAGATACACACCATTGTTATTCCTGATTTACAAATTAGGACAGGGAAGTACAAATGTTTATTCATTTATTAAGGTCACATGGCTACAGTGTATGGAGATGGGATTCGAATCTATTCCTCTGGCCTCAAGTCAGTGCTGTTGGCCATTACACTGAAAGCAAAAGCTTCCTGTGCTTTATGCAAGATGTAAAATAAAATGTCCTTCCCGAGAAGCATGAATGCACACTTAAGTATAGCAGCAGGACTACCAATCACAGATAATTGCTTTTCTATCCCAGAACTTCTGCAAAGAATAAACTTAGTATGTGTACTATTCAGACAGATGAGTGCCCATGAGTTTGCATATGTGCATGTGTGTGCTTGTGTGAATGAGGGTACCTGTGCACATAAGTGTGAATAGTGTGTGTGTATTCATACACACAGCTGTAAATATGTATAGATTAATGCATATGTGAATTCTTAATCTGTATGCGTCTATGTACAGTGGCAAAGCCAGAATTCAAGACCAGATCTTTCTGATGTACAACATGGTTTATTTATTTATTTAATTATTTTCACCAGAAGCCATGTGCTCTAGAGATACAGACAGAGAAAACCCTTTCCAATGGGGCATGGTCACATTGCAATCCTTTTTCTTCCGATTCTCCATCCCATCATGATCCTGGGCACATAAGCAAGCTCTTAGCATGTTTTTTAAGCAGATGGGACAAGGACTTGAACCCTGGTTGGCCATGTGGGATTCAGTTCCCTCTGTGCAAAGACTAACTGCTGTGCTCTTGAATTGGCCCCAGCATTAACTCTTATGCTATATTTTCTCAAAAAACAAACAAACAAACAAAAAAGATTATAGTAATTATTACTTCTCTTTGACTTTAAGATCCACAGTTATTTTGTACACATGGCTTCAATTGAATAAAGATAAAGGCCACCACAGTATCTTTCATCTATTGATCTCATTGCCCAAAAAATGGAAGTGAAGACGGTTCAAGGTTGTGATCATTTTTATGTACGCAGTCAAGCAAGAAAAAAAAGATTTAAAAAAATAGAAATAATACCTTTAATCATCTTTTCGTCAACAAGTCTTTGAAAGCAGGTCCAGTTGCAGTGGTACAGACAGTGCATGCTGTTCTGTGATGCTGGAGACATATGGAGGACCCGGGTTTGGATCCTGGGTCAACCTGAACATATTGTTATCTGCCCACCTGTGACCCTTGCTAGTTAGAAAGCTGAGTTCAGGGTGGAGAATCACAGTGTGGTGAGATCCTGTCAAAAGCACCTCTCTTCCTCTCTTTCTCTTTGTCTTTCTTTTTCTCTTTCTGTCTCTCTCTCTTTACATAATATATATATATATATATATATATATATATATATATATATATGTATATGCATATAAATAAACTTAAAAACGGAATTCTCAAAGTGCATTGTAGGTGTTTTGTACCAAATTAATTCACCCTTACACCAGTGCTTTTCCCTTACATTTTGAGGGAAATTAATTGACAAGGGGGATCCTATGATTCTTGAGAACAAGGCAGCCAGTTAATGGTGTGGCCAAATAGAGAACTCAGCCCTCAGGGATATGGCGGCTTTGCCTCCCCAGGAGAGCCCAACGCTTCCTTTAAACATGCCTGATGTCTTACCACACGTGTATGGAAACGTCCTTGCACATCTGCGTACTTCAGGGCATCTTCACTTTTGAAGCTCGCAGAGTTTCCTGTCGGTAGCTCATCTTTACCTATTACTGAGCTCCGTAAATAGCTTCAAAAGAGCCTCTTGGAAAGAATCAAAGGCCATTCCAGCTGAAGCTCTCCAAAGGAAACTTAAAGCAGACGCTCTCACCTTCTGGTAACTCTGACACATTAATTTCTCTCAGCCACCTCACTTGAAGTAGTAAGTCTGGCACCACCGTGGCGGGGAGCCCTAATCAGATACCAAACCAGCACTGACTGTGTCAGAAATGATGTCAGATGAACGGCAGTCCCCGGACCGCTGCCTCATTTGGAGCAAACACTGAAACATTTGTTTTTTAGGCTACTTTATGACTCGCCTGAAAAATGACTTTGTTCACTATGGAAGGCCACTAATGTATGAGGTGTTACCCCAGGATTTTAGCACTTCTGCTGCATGCACAGCCTTCTTTTTGTACACAGGGCTGCACAAACAGTGGAAGTATCCTTGAACTACTTATATTATCAGTGCCATATATCAGGGGAGAAACTACATGGCAAAAGGTGTGTTAATACTTTCCTGAATATAAAATCTAGTGAAACACAATTTTACCAAGGGCATAGGGAGAAACATTTGCATTTTATACCATATGGTTTGGCTTATATCGGATTTACACGTTTGGAGTTTTTTATTTATTTTTAATGGTGGTCCTTCACCTTGGGTATATGAATGTGGTTTTCACCTCTCGTCTTTGGGGATCATGCCTGCCATGAAAGCTCTATCAATCGGGGTTCTGAGAATTTGCTGGTCTTCCTGTTGGCAGATTCTTCACTGCCTCCTATCTCCCCACAAGAAGCTTCTGTCATAAGAAGACCAGGATCAGCACAAACGCTGCTCTCCCTGTGATGGAGCAGGGAAAGCAGTCTTCATATCTGATCCTAGTGTTTTCACCATCAACCACTGGAAAGAACTGCACGGCTATCACTGTTCCTTCTCTGACTCTCTTTTTTCTCTGAACTGCTACTGAAAATACAGGCCCAACCCTGGTCTCCTTCTGGAAATTATTTTGATAATAAGAAACAGACCCAAAGAGGTGTTGTGAGGTGAGGCTGTGACCTTTCACCTTTAAGGACGTGGGTTCCAGACCTGTCTAAAGGTTGGTGGTCTCTGCGTAGTCCAGCCAGGTATTTCTCACTGCCACAGACCTGTAATTTTGGGAACAAAATTACCTTGATCCCAACAAAGAAGCTACAGTAAGATATGGAGGTACATGATGATGGGGGTCTGACACACTCTCGCATCACTGTTGTTTGGATCCAGTTGACTTTCTGTTTTGACGTCAGTGATTTTCAGTTCTGTAGAAAATAACCTGTAGAGGATCAGGAGCTGGTGGAGACAATAAATCAACTGTTTGATTTAGGTCGTGGTTCTCACTGATTTGTGGTTTGATTTGGAATATTTCTTTATGTATTGTGATTAGTCAGATTCTAATCTAAACTGGCTATCATTCCTTCAATTCATAACTTTGATTTCTTATTTTGGTATTTTCTCAAATTAGATCCTAGAATTTGTGTCTTCCTGGGGAGGCGACCCAATGCAGAATATAATTGCTATAATGGTAATGTTGAATTTTTCACCTAGTTACCTCCAAAGACCACTTTAAATATCAATTTTATTTATCAGGGGCCTACATATGCACTGTTCTGTTTACTTTAGAAAGAATTTCATGTCATTGTAGTAACTGAGAATGGCTTATCCTATTACCACAGTCCCAAGATGTGCAGACCATTAGAAGACAAAGAGTAGGTCTCTCATGATTCCAGGTCCAGGAACTAATTATATAGCAAACTAGTATTGAGTGGCTCTGACACTAGCAGGAGCCACATGCTCAGGTTCAAGTCACCGGTCTGCCCCTACTTATGTGTGTGATGCTGGGCAAGTTCCTTAATCTCTAGGTATCTCAATAGTCTTATCTACACAATGGGACTGATACCAATATCCTTGCCATAGGGTGGTTGTGAGTTGATCTATGTACTTAGGACTGTGGTCTGGTGCACAGATTGAAGAGTTGGCTATTATTTCCTAAGGGAAAAACAAACAAGTTTTCTCTAATTTGACAAGTATTTCCAGAAGACCACAAGAAGGCTTAATGTTACGTGAAGTAAGCCAGAGTGTGAAGGACAGACATTGTATGTCCCTACTCAATATGTACCAAATGTCTGCACTCTCTAGCAGAAATTGAAAGTTTGGAAGGGATGGTAGCAGGGAGGGCAACCACAGATGCTAGAGATAGTAAGGATACAGGTAATACGGGAGTGGGTAATAGAGGAAGGGAGGGAGGGGGACAGGGGATAAAAACAGTATGTTTAATTGAAACAAGAATGAAAAGTTATTTGCTGCTGATGCTGTACATGATAATGTCTTTGTAGAAACCTTTGTTGTTTTGTTTTCAGACAGTCCATTTTTCAGTTTAACATTTTCTTTGAAATTTTCAAGGCCTTCTCACCTGCCCCCCAATATGGTTTAATTTACTAGTCATATAGACTATATGTTAGGGTAACTGAAAGAGTAAAAGTCCTTTGATTAAAAAATTCCAGGAACGGGACCAGCAGTAAGAGTAATGGCTGTGTTGCTGACCTCCCATGTAGTTGACTGTGGTTCAAGTCCCGGACCCGGTGACTTAAACTCACACTGGACATGTGTGCATGCGTGCCCAAGATCACGAGAGGAGAATGGAGGAGAAGGGATTGTGATGTGGCCATTGCCACTTTCTGTCTCTCTCTGTCTTTCTGGCTACACATGTGCCCTATAGCAAAAACCTCTCAAAAAAAAAAAAATTCCAGGAATAACAGAATTGAGGAGTCATGAAAAAAAAATGGATCTTTGTAGACGTAGTCAATAAACGCTAAAACATATTCACTGGAAGTGTAATAGAGATCATTGTACCTAAGAATCAGAGTGATCCCATCTGACACCACTGATCAATCTTAGCAGTACTACAAGCAGGCTGCAGAGAGAGAGGTGTCTCTAGATGCGTTTCTGCATGCACTCAGCACCATCTATGAATAGTTGAACCTGAATACAATGAAGCCTCTAGATCTAAATACCAGTTTATAGGACAAATCCAAGGAACAAAATGACAGCAAGAGGGAGCAGCTGGGCAAATGCAGAGTGTAGGACATTCTAGTCCTAACAAAACTATGGTGTGAAGAACCCTAAGGAGTGGAGAAGGACTACCATGGGAGAGAAGAGACAAGAGACTAACAACAAAGTACAGTGTATTATCTTATTTGGATCCTTATCAGAGAAAATAAACTCAAGACATTTTTAAGACGACCAGGATAATTTGACTGCAGGTTAGAAATATGCATCTAGATGATATTTAGCAATTATTAATTTTGCTGGCATGGGAATATGGTGGCTAATAAAAGAGTGCTTAGCATTGGGAGTACATGCTGGAAATACTTACAGGTTAAATGACATGATGTCTGGGAATTTTTTTTTTTTATTACTCAAAAAAATATTGAGAGAGCTGTCTAAGGAAATAAAGGTGTCATTGAATTTCCCTATTGAAATTCAGTAAAGAGTGTACGGATACATGAAGGATTGTTCTCTACCTTTGGAAATACTTGAACTTTTTTGTTCTTAAAAAGTTGTAGACAGAAGCTCAATGATGATCCTGAGTGTCTCCAGTCTGGATATTAAAATTGACTTTCCATGTCTGGTTGCCCATAATACTGTAAAGCATGTGAAATGGACTGATAAATTTTTTGGAAAGATTTCAGGCTATTTTTACACTGTTACAGTGTGATAAAGTATGTCGTTATTAACTATTCTAGAGGTTTTATACTTTTTCTGTATTAAATTATTAGGTAATGGCATGACATCATCTATACATATTTTAAGTGTTTTCTCAGTAATATCCTTGGCAACAACAGAACACACGTTCTAAACAGTTTCCTTTAAAAATAAAGTTGATGGAAAAAGTGTTAAGCTCTACAAGGCACTCTGAGGTGGCATACAAATACGTAACAATACATTTTACAGTCTCTCTCCTAAAGCCAGGGTCAGAAGCAATGACATTCTTGGACAAAATTCAGGAAAAAAAAAAAAAAGAATGTGAGAACATAACTTTTACTTCAGATTTATGTATACTGTAGGAGGAATTTTGTTACTTGTTTTTTTTTTTTTTTTTTTTTTTTTTATTAATATAGGAGTTGTGTGGTGCTCTGGGTTGTCCTGGATGACAAACGTGTAATCCAAGGAAGGGGTAGGTTTGCACTCCCTGAAAGACACAGTGAGCCAGTGAAGTCAACCTTGTCAACACCAGCAACCTCCAGAGTCTGCACATACTAGAGCACTGATATCAATCCTCATTTTGACATACATATTAGAATATCTTTATTTGGTGGTTCCTTTGTGCCTCAAATCCCAAATGGAAACAAATGTTTCACTGCAGTGTTATGAAGTTTATTCGTATATACCTAAGACAGACTAAATATGTCTATATATCTGAATCTATCTGTCTCTGTATCTCTATCTAGATCTGTAGGTACATGCACTAATGTATACATCAGGAAATACATTTAACATTAATTTTTAGGGACAGCCCATGGCTTGGTGATGAAGGGAGCTAGATTATGCATGGCAAAATGAAACCACAACCACGAATGAAGTAGTTAGAAAAGAGGATTTAATAAGAAGAAAAGAAGTATACCCATAAGGCTCTTGGGCAGGTAGATAGCCAGATGGCAACTGTGTTTGGTACTGGTTAACCATTATTTTTATTAGTAGAGCTGATCATGAATATTTATTGGTGGGAGGTCTGTCATACTACCTATGCTCTTCGTTTGCATTCAAATCTGCATGTTTTCTCCTGTGCTTGTGCACTTTTCTCACAGGTAAAGAATGAGGAATTTGATTACCTAACTGCAGCATGCCCAGTGTGAGCCAGGTTGTTTAATTAGACTGCCTAATTAGTTTATCGCCCTAGTGGGAATTAGGGTATTGACCTAGTGGGAATTAGGGCGTTGACCAAAATGCTTGCTTGGGTCTTTTTGAATTCATGAGGGATAATAAGAGAAAAGTTTACGAGTCATCCCTGTGTGCTTCCCTCAGGCACCAAGGAAGGAAGGTGGTGAATTGCCTCTCAGCCTGGCGCCAGGGGCTAGGTGAGAAGAAGGTACCTCATGGAGGGTCTGGTTGTAATTCATGATAAACCGAATTGATGTGGCATGTGTCCTTTCACTTTTCTTTTAGGGCTGCCTGCTCATGACTAACTAACTGCCTACCACAAACTGTCACTTCTATGAGGATAGGCAATGTCCTTGGTGTGCATGATCTCTGGACTCACATGGGGTTTTTGGGTGCTGGTGACAGAAAGTTCCCAATTGTCTGCTCAGGGTAAACTTTAAGGTCCAGTTTCACTCCTATCTACCTGGTACCTCTCCAACTTCCTTCCTAAGCCAAGGAGTCTGGTAGAATCAAAAAGTCAAACCCATTTCTCTCAAAACTATGTTCTCTTTCATGTGAACCAAGGCTTGGTCTTCTAGTATCCTTCCATTTAGATATTGGATAACAATCAAGCCAAGTTGATTGGAGAAAATTGCCTCAAGGTCTATGTAATTGAAGGTCAAGCCAGAGCACAGTGGAACAGTTATTACTTTAACATATTATTGCCATCATTTTATTATAAAAATAAATTACTTCCCACTATAAAGTTTTGGGAACATGAGGGTATTTCAAAAAAAAAATTGTGGAAAAATGGAATTAAAGTACGAGTCTATTTTGGTGCAATAACATGTTAAAATGTATGCAAAGTTTTCTCATGGTACACATTTTTCCATGAACTTTTGGAAGACCTCCCTCATATTACAATTGTACCCTATGAAGTGAGGCTTCTCTTTTTTGCCCTTTTGTATTATTTTATTCTCCAGACTCTACCTAGTCCGCTAGCCCCTCAAGTCTTCCCAGTTTCCCAGAGTCTCTTGTTATAGCAATCTATTAGGCGTGGCCATCCTGGGTGACCCCAACTTATTAGATTTTCAATAATGTACCTGCCATTCC